ACCAGCAACGAATGAGAATTCCAGATTCTCCAAGACCTTGTCAACACCTCGTACCACCAGTCTTTTTAAATTTGGCCTTTCCAGAGGCTGTGATGTAGCATCTCATTGTGGTTTTAACTGGAAAACTATGTACCTTGTTCCTGTCAGGAGTTGAGGCCCAATCCTCATTCTTAGAGGCTCAGTGTTCTCTGGCACTAATGGCCAACTTACTTCCGGAGAAGGAAGCCATTTCCCATGGATGACTAATTGCATTTTTTTTATTAAATTTCTTTTACATTTATTTATTTTTAAGAGATAGAGTGAGAGCATGAATGAGGGGGAGCCTCCCAAGCAGGCTCCAGGCTCTCAGCAAGCATTCAGCACAGAGCCTGACACGGGGCTCGAACCTATGAACTGTGAGATCATGACCTGAGCCGAAGTTGGACACTTAACCGACTGAGCCACCCAGGCAGCCCCTAATTGTCTTTGAGATAAAAGGTCGAGTTCTCATTAGAAGTTAAAATGATCAGAGGCCAGGTTCATGTTTCATTCACACACAGCCTTCCTCTAACAAGGACTAAAGTCAGGTCACGAAAATTCCTGTGAGTCCCTATCCCCCTGCTGTTTCTCTTTTAGGGTCTTCCCAAGTTATCACCATTCTTAAATGACAGCCACAGGAAGGCTTGAGTCACTCTCTCAAGGGGACTCTCAAATCTCCCTTTTTCTACCCTTCTATTGCTCAATAGCACTGGAACTAACGTTGGCTTATACCATCATTCTTGCCATCTACTTAGGGCCTGGTAGTGACTATCAGAAAGTAAATCAGGACCCAAGGGTTATGTCTTTGCTTGAAAGCCATGGTCCAGGATGTCTTGTGCATTGGTTAGGATGCGTGCTGTTGCACATAACAGAAATTGGCTTAAGCGAAGTGAACGTAATTGCTCATGTCATTGCAAAGCCCAAGTTTGACGCCGTTCAGGGCTGAGATGATTCAGTGACTCAATGATGAACCCATGAAGTTTCTTCCCATCTCTTTGTCCTTCCTTCGGTCACCTCCGTCCTAGGACTGGCTCCCCGCTGTGGTCACAAAATATTTACCGACCATCACCCCCCCCCCCCAACACACTTCCTCAGAACTCTGCCACAGGCCAGCCCTGGGTCACACACCCATCTCTGAACCAATCAGTGTGGTCAGAGGGTGGAATCAGCTTAGGCAAAGAGACCATCCCCCATATGTGGGTGGGTGGTTACTGAATAAAAACGAAGATTGATAACAAGAGGAGGGAGAAGAGGTGTGGGCCCGGCAGAGACAAGGTCCACTACGTCCCGGACTTAGAATTATTCTGAATATTCTGGGAAAAAAAACCTCTGCCATTGACATGAAAATCTTCTCAAATCACACCTTCCAAATGCAATGTCTCCTTGGCAACAACTTTCTCACTGTTCACCTTCCTGAGTCTCCCTCAAGCCCTACCCTCTTGTACATCAAATGCCCAAGTTCCCCCACCCCCTAACTTTTGACCATACAAGTCTGATCTTTCCCATTACCCTCAGCAACATGGGCCTAGCGATCCCGCTGTCCTTCACTGCCATCTGCTTACAGGTCACATTGGACAGCAGTGCATGGCCAGAACTTCTACGCAAGGCCAAGCTGACGAAAGCTTCTTAACTTGTCATCTTACAGGGTATGTGTTTGCTCATGTGCCCCTGGCCTTATATGCCTGAATTCTTTTTTTCTGTGAAAAATCCATCTTTCTAGGGGTGCCTGGGTGGCTTAGTCGGTTAAGCGTCCGACTTTCGCTTAGGTCATGATCTCTCGGTTTGTGGGTTCGAGCCCCGCGTCAGGCTCTGTGCTGACTGCCAGCTCAGAGCCTGGAGCCTGTTTCAGTCTGTTGACTCCCTCTCTCTCTGACCCTCTCCTGCTCACGCTGTCTCTCTCTCCCTCCTAGAAATAAATAAAACATTTTAAAAAAATGTAAAAAAGAAAGAAAAATCCATCTTTCTGGGGCGCCTGGGTGGCTTAGTCGGTTAAGCGTCCGACTTTCGCTTAGGTCATGATCTCGCGGTTCGTGGGTTCGAGCCCCGCATCGGGCTCTGTGCGGACTGCCAGCTCAGAGCCTGGAGCCTGTTTCAGTCTGTGACTCCCTCCCCTGCTCACGCTGTCTCTCTCTCTCTCTCCTAGAAATAAATAAAAAACATTTAAAAAAAAAAAAAAGAAAAATCCATCTTTCTAATTAAAATAATAATTGTCTAGGGGACAGAAATACAAACTTTTAGTTGATTTTCTACCCAAGGCTATATCTTCAGCTAGTATTTTTAAATATCTCTGCCCTATGCAGGGAAGACATGATGTATTTAAACTCTTTTGTGTGCTGATAGCCTAAAGGGATTCTTCTATGAAAGCAGCCATCTTTTTTTTTTTTTTTAATGTTTTTATTTATTTCTGAGAGAGGAGGAGAGACAGCATGAGCAGGGTAGGGTCAGAGAGAGAGGGAGACACAGAATCTGAAATAGCCTCCAGGCTCTGGACTGGCTGTCAGCACAGAGCCTGATGCCAGGCTTGAACCTACGAACCGTGAGATCATGACCTGAGCCGAAGTCGGATGCTTAACTGACTGAACCACCCAGGTGCCCCGAAAGCAGTCATCTCTAAGTGTATGAAAATAAATGATACTAAACAGTCATGTCTTTGGGTTTTCTTGTAGTTTTCAAATGTTGGCTAAATATCTTTTGGGGCTAGGAGTTGGGACATTGCAACGGAGAGAGATTTAATTGCCTAAAACATGTCACTGATTTGCCATAAGTGGGTAAATACATCAAACTCAAAACCCACCCAGCTCCATCAACTGAGGACTCGATGGTTTTGGAAGGGCAGATGGGAGCCACTGATGCCAGAGGACAGTTTAAGCACTCTATGTCCCGTCCTTGTAATATTTTTCAAACCTCAGAAACCTATTCTTTTTGTTACGTTTGCTGTACTGCATGTAGCCTTTTCCCCCCCCCTTTCTTAGGAGAAAAATGGAAGCCATTTGAAAACTCATGGCTTCATCTGAACAACAGATTCTCATTGTAGTGTCTAAAAACCTGCACTTAAAAATTCATGAGCAAGGTCAGTATTCAAAAGAGGAAATAAGAATGTCCTTTCAGTTAAAAAAATCACATTTTTGGTTTTGTTGTTTTTGTTTTTTGGCAAACTTAGGTTGACACAAATGGCCAGGCTCCTGAAAACTGCAATAAACCCAACAAGCACCCCTGCATGGCCAGTGAGTATTGTTCTCTAGAAATAGACCTCGTGGTGCTACTGGCTCAAGAAAGACCTATAGCTGTAGTTTTTGTGGAGAATATTTCCAAAGTGGGTTATGGAACTCTTCACCCCAGAAGCTGTTTCCTATAAATGGGGCCATGATTATAGAAATCACACACACGCGCGCACGCACACACACACACACACACACACACACACACACTCACACACACCACAGGGGGTGGGGAGGACATAAAACAGATTTCTTTCTTTTTAAAAAAAGCTTATTTATTTAGTTTTGAGAGAGTATGGGGGAGGGGCAGAGAAAAAGAGAGGGCGAGAACCCCAAGCAGGCTCCCTGCAACCAGCCTGTCAGCACAGAGCCTGACATGGGGCTCGAACTCACGAACTGCTAGATCATGACCTGAGCAGAAATTGAGAGTCGGACGCTTAGCCAGACTGAACCACCAGGTACTCCCAGGCTTCTTTCTTGATGGCTGTTTCCAGAAGCTTCTAGAAACACACACCTGGAGGTTATAGTTCTTCTGCCTTTTGTGGAGCTTTAGTTACAATACCAAGTACTGAAAACACCCAGAGAGGACACGGAGGCATATTCATGCTCCGGGAGAGAAGTGAACACATTCTGACTAGTGATTTCAGCTTTTGTTGCAAAATCATCAAGTTGGAGGCTGTGCTGGTGGTGCCAGGAATGCTGTCCCCCAAGCATGGCGCCCGATCACCCGCGGCCCTGTGTTGCTCAAGTCCAGTTGTCACAGCTCACTGGATGTTGGCCTCCGAGTGGCCTCGGTACCCCGACCCCCACCTGTCCCCCACACCTGTCCTCTATACTCCCCTTATTCTTGGCGCCCCCTCCCCCCCACTACCTCTTGGATCCAGAACCCAGGAACATTCTTCATGGTTCCTTTCGAAGGTCTGTGGTGGGTGCTGGACACTGAAGAAATCTCAACGCTCTTCTACAGAGGTAAACAGAACTTGGATCGGAACTTACATATAAACAGGACGACCCAAATCACCAGACAACTCGCAACAGAAAGAACGAGTACTGCTAAGCAACAGCAGAGGAGTGGGGGCCTTGGGGTCACACCCGCAGAGTGTGCAGCTGACGCTTCTCACTGTCATCAACTATATTAACGCTTCTGTGGTTTTTTGTTTTTCAGAAGAAGCTCCCGTTGAAAAATCACCCACGACACACTGCCTAGCCAGCAAGAGCCATCCTAACCGAACACACTTCCTCTAAAGGCGCGTCTGCCCCGCTGCCTGGGGTTCTGTCCACCATCTGATGATCACTAACAATGATGCTACACAAGGCTCGTTCTGGAGAAGTCTTGGTCAGGTGTCTTCCACAAGGTAGGGTACATGTGTCGCTGTGGTCCGTGAGCATCTTAAGGTACAGGCACGTACTTCGCATTTTCACGGGTATGCACTTATTCTAATCCGCGTGAGGGACAAATGCCACCAGCACGTCCCTCACTGCATGTGGCTCCATTGCTTAGGGTGAGCTTCTTGATGAACTGCAAGACCAGAGTTTCCCCAGGTGCTTTCTGGGAACTCCGGCTGGCACGTGAGAATCATGGCCACCAATGATCCCCAGGCCTGGGGAGATGGGTCTCTCCCACCCCCCTGGCCTGGTGGCTGTGGACCAGGGTCTCTGGGCAATGTCCCAACCAGGCATTCCCGTGAGGAGGAAGACATACCCACAGCGCCCAAGCTCAGGCTTTGGCAACAGGTCTCCTTTCTCATATCAGACACCTTACCCGGAGATTTTGAAACATTTAATCAGAAAAGACGCTGGCATTTGAAGAGTTAGGTTTACAAACTTGACACAGTCTTAATATGAGCAATTTATCTATTTATATGTTGTCTAAGAAAATAAGGTCTATGAAGACATCCACAAGATATTTGAGAGTTCATTATAAGCTACAGTGATTTGCAAGTAAGTATCCAGTTAATGGTAACAAACCACTGCTAGCAAATTTAACTAAGTATATAAAAACATTAGTTAAATACAATTCTCTGGAAATATACATCATACCTACAGTTTGTTGTGTTTTTTTTTTTTTGTTTCATTTTTACAAGGAGGTTTCTTCCTGTTTTCTCCCTCCCTTTTAATTCTCAAAACGGCAAATCACTGGATGGTCCTGGATCTCCAAGCTATAAAGCTGAAATATGTGTTCCCAGCATAGCAGATGGTGACCAGGAAGGCGAAGAACTAGAGGAAACAAAGCATAATAGAAAGAGGGCTTAGGGCACATTCTAATTAGCAAAAGTTATCATTTCGCCACCATTGAATCAGGCACTCACAGCGTCCCTTGACTCCAGGCTTTCTCATCTAAAACTGCTTTATGGGTTCAAATGCCTTCCTTCTGAAATGATTTCTGGCTCTGCTGGTTGTTTAGCGGGGGTGTTTTGGTTGTTTTTTCTTTTGAAACATATCTGGAAAACTGGTAGTTTTGCTCAAATAACCACAGGCTGTTCATTTTGGGGTGAATATGGCAGTATGCATCCAAAAAAAGTAGACAAATTCCTAATTTAGCACGAGCAATGTTAGACAGGGCTTAACCTCAGACTGTCATACAGTCAGTTAAATAAAGGAGTTGAGTGGGTGTGAGGAAGCGATGAACGCACATGGTATGAATGGGGGGGGGGTAGGAAAATGCAGGCCCCTCTTAAGGGGCAGCCACTGCCCAGTTTGGTGGATTCTTGCTGTAGGATAGCTTGAGCCATGTGCTGCTAAAGCTTGGGAATTTTTTTTAAGTTTATTTATTTAGTTTGAGACAGACAGAGACAGTGTGAGTGGAGGAGGGGCAGAGAGAGAAGACAGAGAATGCCAAGCAGGTTTTGTGCTTCGAGCGCAGAGCTGGACACAGGGCTTGAACTCAGGAAACCGCGAGATCATGACCTGAGCTGAAACCAAGACTCAGATGCTCAACAGACGGAGCCACCTAGGTGCCCCAAAGCGTGTGATTTTTAATGTCATGTGCATCATGCCCTATTCATTTAAATACAGATTTTTGAATATAAATCCAAGAATATAATGAATGACCATATTATCAAAAATCAGCTTTAATGCTATCATTTTGGTGTTCCTGTCTGACTGCCCCCCATTCCTCTGCCAATGACTCCTTTTGGGGGTGGAATATTTTAAGGCCGATCTCAGAGAAACTTCTAAAATTAGTTTTTACAATCAGAACAACAATCTACACGGATGGTTTAAAAACACAAACAGTACAGAAGCATATATATTACAAAGCAGAAGTCCCTCGGGCCCCTCATCACCCAGCCACAGTTTCTGGAAGCTGGGGTGTACTTTCCTTGGCATCCCCAATGCATACACACACATCTCTCCTTCTTTAAAAAAATGTAGAATCATAGTGTGCTCATTGTTTTGCAACTGTCTCCCCACTTGAACTCCAGTCAGTAGAATTATTCTTAGACTGCCTCAAACAGCTCTTCTCCCTCAAATACTTATTTTGTTCCAGCTATTTGGCCTTCACTCAAGCTGAGGCTTTTAGCCTCTGTGTACTTCAGACCATTGGGAGGCCAATTTTTGATGCTTTCAAACCAACAAGCTAATGGCTGGTGTGTTACCACTGTGGAGGGTGCTTTCCCACCCCTGCAGGTAGCTGGGTCCTCCTCCTGGACCCCCAACCCCAGTGGGAGGAGGAGACCGTGACCCTGACCATGGCAGGGGTGGGGGTGGAGTGTTGAGAGGGCTCACTCACCGACGAGGCTGCCCAACTGTTGAAGTTGTGGCTGTTCGTATCCAGGGAGACAGAAGATGCATCCACCACAGCAGCCGAGAGGTATAAGACGAAGGCACTGCCATTAAAGCACAGCCCCTGCAGAAGACAGGACAGGGGTGGGGCGGTCAGGGAGTGTGCAAGGTCTGGGCACCTCTGGACCTTTGAAGTGGCCAGAACCGTGTGCCAGGACACTTGGGAAGGTTTTTTTGTTTTTGTTTTTAATTGAGGGGGAGACACAGAATTCCAAGTGCATGTAAGCAGGGGAGGGGCAGAGAGAGAGAGGGAGTGAGAGAATCCCAAGCAGGTTCCTTGCTGTCAGTGCAGATCCCAAAGCAGGGCTCAATCTCATGAACCATGAGACCATGACCTGAGCTAAAATCCAGAGTCAGATGCTCAACCGACTAAGCCACCCAGGTGCGCCTCCCCACCTCCCCCAAAGCAGCTCTTCAGGGCCTCCATGAGGAGAGGGCTTAACACCAGCTTATACACAGCATAACCAGACACCCCTCACCTGCCCCCCAAGATACCCAGGCTGCCTGCTTGTTCCTTCAGCCACTTCTCTCTCTGTCTTAATCCTTGCTTCATCCAGATTTCACCCATGGTTACCTATGGGCTGAGGAAGGCAGGTAGCTGGGGCTGCAGCGAGATTGGCCCCACCCATGGCCCCAGCAGGTGCCACCCTTCAGCACCTGTCCCTGACCCAGAGCTGGGAGGCAGTCTTTCCCAAAGCAGGCCCCGCTGATCTATTCCCCCCGCTCTAAGCAGGGAGGGGAGTTTAGGGGAGCTCCTCAACCCTAGCAACAAGTTCTTTAAACTAAAAAGATTGTACGTATTCATAGAGCCCTTTGGGAACTAATCTCTCCCCTGGCTTCGTCTTATTTTTTCCTATTCTGAGAGAAGGGAGATATTTAATACAAATAGGTATTTGGTTTTCAGTTATATTTACACTCTAGGAAATCATACTGTGAAATGTGCAAAAGCTGATCCTATCTGAACAAGGGTGAGAGGAGGGGGTGGGGCAAAACTGAGGCAGAAACCAAAGCTTTATGCAGGTAGGAAGAAGGTGGCTCTCAAGGATCTACCTCTGTAGTCTAACAGCTCTCCCTTGGTAATTCAGAGACAGAAACACGTACGGGCAAGGGGAAGAAGCAATATCTTTTTCTTCTTAGAGAAAGAAAGGCACACAGAATTTTCCAGATGCAGGTCCTAGCACTGAGGTGGGCTGTGTGTATCCCTGTTACCTCCTCCATAGTTTGCTCCATTATGCTGGGTTAAGGAGATTAACCTAAGGGAAAAGGGTACACAGGACTCAGGGTACCCATGATGCTCATCTGCCATAGAAATGTGTCCCCAGGAAGATGTGGGTTCCCTGGAGGACTCATTACATTTGTTGCTTGTGAGGTTTTTTTAGGTCCAGAAACACATTTGTGCATTAAAAAATTTTTTTTGTTTATTCTGAGAGAGAGAGAGAGAGCACACATGGAGGAGGGGCAGAGAGAGGGAGACAGAGAATCCCAAGCAGGCTCTGGACAGTCAGCACAGAGCCTGATACAGGGCTTGAACCCATAAACCGTGAGATCATGACCTGAGCCAAAGTCGGACGCTCAACCAGTTGAGCCACCCAGGCATCCCCCCATCCCCCGCCTGCCAAATTTTTTTTCAATTTCACATTACCTCCAGAGTTTTGCACATTTGCTATTTGCCAAGTAAAGGACTCCTCGTATATATATTTGAATGCTGAAACAGTTAAATGCAGTTACCTCTGAGGAGTGGGAGACCTGAGTTTTCATTTTGTGGCCTTAGTTTTCATTTAGTGGACCCAAATTAAAAATATTTTTTCATGTATTTTTTTTAATGTTTTATTTATTTCTGAGAGAGAGAGAGACAGCGTGAGCAGGGGAGGGTCAGAGAGAGAGGGAGACACAGAATCTGAAGCAGGCTCCAGGCTCTGAGCTGTCAGCACAGAGCCCAATGCAGGGCTCGAACCCATGAACCGTGAGATCATGACCTGAGCTGAAGTTGGACGCTTAACTGACTGAGCCACCCATGCACCCCCCAAAATATTTTTTTAATACTTAAAAAAATTATTTTTATTTAATAAACTAGTTATGTATTACATCCAAAACATTAAAATGCTTAAGAAAACATTTTAAAGTAATGCACATTCATGGTAACCTAACAAAATCCAGTGTGGACAGAAGAGTCTGGAGTAAAAAGTCAGTCTACTCCATCCCCCTCAACCTTTTCCTTTGAGATATAAAGAAAACACCCACTCGAGTTAAGTAAACTCAGTGGGGTTTTTTGTCTTGTTTCGCTGGTTTTTTTTTTTCCACCAAAAAAGATGCCAAGGGCAATTTTACACACCTGTCCAAACAGATGACCTCATTTCCTGCCATGACACAAATACCTTAGGATCTAACTTTTCCCCTACTGATGGGCATTTCATGTTCCTTGTTGTCCCAGGATTACAAACACTCCTGTGATGAATGTCTTTAAACATGTATTTGGGGGCCCCCCGTGCACCTGCAGTCCCCATACAAGGGGCGAGATGAATGAGAGAGCATTCGGAGAGGTCAGCCTAGCCAGCACTGCCCTGACACAGGCCCTGGGCCTTGTCCCCACCGCTGGGTAGCTGAAGGGCCAGAGAAGGAGTGCGGACAAGACTCCCTGAGGATAGGTTTCCCCATCCCTTATCCATTTTTAAGTGTGGCCCAATCTATTTTTTCCAAGGAAACGAGAAACCGTGTCCCTTGGAGAGAAGCAGGGAAGGGCTTCCTTCCTTCCCCCCTGCACCACCCCACCGGGCCCTGCTGGGTTATCACAGCCTCCATTCCTGCTGCCTCAGTGCGGAAACTCCTCCTGCCCAGCCCCCACGCCGTCCTCCTCAGACTGCCAAATTCAGTATGTCTCAGGGGTGCCTGAAAGGGAGACTAGTGAAGATAGGTGGAGAGAGGAAAGAAAAAGGAAGGGCAAAGCAATGAGGATCGGAGGTTGCTACAGAGGTTCAAGGACAGAGATCGTGTGGCTACAGGCGTGGAAGGGGCGGCAGCCTCTGGAATCTCACTGAGCTTCATGGAAACACAAGGCCGTAGGGCTCTAGAGCCCCTCCAATGCAAATGCCAATTCTCAAAGCATCCCTAGGCCGCAGGGAACCGAGAACAAATCAGCGTTCCACTAAAGGTTCCCAACTATTCTGTTTCGGGCGAAGGTGGAGGGAGGCTGTTCTTTTCTGAAGTTTGATCCTTCTTTGGTACAGAATATTCTTCCTCCCCTGCCCCCCAATAAAGGCTCACATAGATAAAAACTCTCAAATAGCCGGCCCCCTTGTTGGCCCTCCACCTTGTTACTGGTGCCCACAACTGACCAAACCTAACTGCGGAGAATGCCCCATCCCTTCACAGTGGAGAGAAGGACGGTTCCTTCAGCCTCAGAGATTTCCTGGAGGCTAGAACCGGGGCACCTGTGCGCCCTGGCCGTCAAGCAGACTCCAGGGTTGACGGCTGTGGTCGGCAGCAGGGGACCTGTCTCCCATTCCTGGTTATCAAAGCCCTTTCGGTGTCTCAGTTTCTTCACCTGCAAAATGAAAAGAATACATCCCGTCTCCGCAGTTAGTGTGAGGTTAAATGATGTAAAATATGAAGGGCCCAGCATGACCTCTGGCATACAGTAGGTGCTTCATACATGGTGGCTGCTACTTTTGCCTATAAAAGGAGGCTGTGCCCTCTGCCCTGTACGGCTCAGTGTCCTTGCAACGAGGCCGAAAGGATGAGCTGCGGAGGATGAATCCTTGGAAAATGCATTTGTGTAGGGCCTGGTGCTTAGTGCCCCAAGGAGGACAAGCATATTGCTTTGAAGTTTTAGCTCAAATGGGATTTGTCAGAAAGCACATCCCAGCCTCTCTGGGTGAATGATATAACCCGGAAAGCATGGGTACCATCAAGTCAATTCCAGTGCAAAGCTCATGTCTTATCGAGGGAAGAGCTATAGGCCAAACAATGAGACTCTGGGTTTTGTAATGTCCTATTGTCTGGTCTCCCAGCCACATTCCCTGTTGACTAAAGCCTGCTCTGCTCATCCCTTCTCGGCAGTCTCTGATTTCCCAAATGCTCTGAGAACCAAAAGTAAATCCAAAAGCCATCTGGCAGCAAAAGCTGACTTGCACTGACCTGGGGGCAATGCAGTCCTTATTAACCCTCCCCATACTAGCAGGAAAATGCATGTGCTAAACATGTCTGATTACAGTGCTGCCTGCAGACAGTCAGGGGGAGGTGTCACCTTATGCAGTAAATGAACCAGATTACTATTTTGCTAAAATTTGCGGGGGAAAAAAAAAACCCTGATTCTAAACATATCTGACCTAGGGGCGCCTGAGTGGCTCAGTCGATTAAGCATCCGACTTCGGTTCAGGTCATGATCTCAAGGTTTGTGAGTTCCGCATCAGTCTGCACCGACCATGCTGAGCCTGCCTGGGATTCTCTCCCATGCTTGTGCATGTGTGCTCTCTTGCTCTCGCTCTCTGTCTCTCAAAATAAATAAACTCTAGAAAATAAATTAAAAAAAAAAGAAACTTCAGCAAACATGCCTAGGAACTGAGACTCAGCAGAAGTGGAACTGAAGGTACTGCTCATTCCTGCATCTTAACCATTTGCTCTGTTACAGTTTCCAAGTTCTCTCCTTCCAAGTTCACAAACACTTTCCTCAAGACATCCTTTAAGGCTTGTCTTCCTCCAAAACGGCATTCCTCCCATTCCTCCAGGTCACTTGGGTGATGCCTTCACCCCGTATTCCCATGTGGCTGTTACTTTGGTTCCCCACATCCAAATGAGTCTTTCCTCCCGTTGTCCAACCAGGGAGGTGGGACCCCAGTTCCCATGAGGCTGCGTGGCGTGGGCTGCCCCAGGCAGCTTTGGGTGCCTTGGCTAGAATTCCTTTCAGAGCCACGTTCTTGAGAATCATAATGGAAAATTCTCACTTTCATATTTGGGGAGACTGTCAAGAGTCCGTCAATGTGTTCTGTGAAATCAATGAGACCTGTTTTTGTTGTTGTTGTTGTTTTTGTGTGTGTAGGTTAACTCAGCTAGCTTTGAAAGCTCCAGAAGGAACCAGGCCAGATATATCCTGAGCAGGGAGGGCGCTAAAGCCTGCCAGCTTCACTTCAGTCTATACCGCACACACACTATGCTTCCAATCTGGTTTATGAGTCAGTTATTTGGAACTGGATAGTTTTCTGAAACACTGGCTGAAAATAAGCAACCAAAAAGATAGTATCGCTTCAGAGCTCCGTTTTAGACATACACACATGTGGCACCACTTGGGTTTTTTGTTTTTTAAATCATGCAGCCACTTCTACTCCCCAGCAAGATTACAAATGCTGCAAGCCAAGGGGGACTTTGCCTTTTATCTCTGAGTTCCCCTCAGGATGTGTGTGATCAGTCTTCAAGATGACAGTAAATGCTGCCCCCTCTTCGAAGAGTTGCCAGCTGTCTCCAGCTGAGGTGGTAACTTTCATCACACTCCATACATGCCTTCACTTTACCACGTGTCATAAGGTACCACGATGGGCGGCTTTTCTGTGTTAACCTGACTGGGCCGCAGGTGCATAGATATCTGGTCAAACATTATCCTGGGTCAATCTATGAGGGTTTTGGGATGAGATTAACGTTTGAATCTATAGCCTGAGTACAGCAGACCGCCCTCTCTAATGTGGGTGGGCCTCATCCAATCAGTTGAAGACCTGAATAGAACAAGAAGGCTGAGTAAAGATAGAACTGCTCCTGACTGCCTTGAGCTGGGACATCAGTCTTATTTCCTGCCTTTGGGCTTGCACTGAAACATCCGGTTTTCCAGTTCTCAGGATGCTGGACTCGGACTGGAATGACACCACCAGTATGACAGGCCTCCAGCAGGTCGACAGCAGGTTCTGTGGCTTCCCCGTTTCCGTGATCACGTGAGCCAATTCCTTCTAATAAACCTCTTTATGCACACATGCGTGCGCGCACGCATGCACACACACACACACACACACACACACACACACACACACATTCTCAGTTTCCTGGAGACCCTAATATCACCCCTCGCCTCCATAGTGATGTGGGGAACAGAGGGCAAAAAGGAAATGGCAGGTAAAACGAAATTTCTCTGTCACCAGGAGACCATTGACAAATACTGGAGGCAAATGCAGTGGGTAACATTCCTCCGGGACCCCCCACCCCACCCCCTGCGTCCTAATGTTAAAGCCTTACTAGAGGGAAAACAACCTTAGTTTGACAGCAGCAAGTCCTCCTAGCTTAGGAGTCCTCTTTAGCATATGAGAGTCCTTCTGGAGCCTTCTCTTTTGTCTTTACCTTCTCGAACTCCATAGTATATCCCAGTCACCCCTCGCAACCCCAGTGAGGCTCTTTCTGCCCACGGGTCCTGTCCCCTTGCTTTAATTAAAAAAGTCACCTTTTTGGCACAAAAGACGTCTCAAAAATTTTTTCTTGGCTGTCAGCTCTGAATCACCACCATTCCAAAACCTCAACAAACTATAGTGATGCCTGATTTTAGACTTCCAGACTCTGGAAGTGTGAGAAGTAAATTTCTGTCATTTAAGTTACCTGTCTGTAGCATTTTGTTATGGTGCCAGGGCACCCTAGGGTACATTTTCTTATCTGTTTCTCCCCAGACTGTATGCTCCCCTTAGATTAGCGTGCAGCCAGCACGGTCCCCAGAGCCAGGACAGGACTCCAGTCCCCCTTGACCACACCTGCTTCCAAATGTGGGGACATCTATTTGTCCTAACAGTAGTTTCACTTTTCATTCTACCCCTGTACCCGCTGTGCACCCCAATATCAAAGAGCCCTGTGTGCACGGAAGCGAGACCTGCCAAGGCTGGGGCCCCACCACACCTGTTTCCGGGGGACACTGTTTACAGGGAACAAAAAAGAGCTGGACTTCTCTGCATTCAGTCTTCTGAGAACTGGTCTGCTATTCTGCCCAAAAGAAATTCCTGGGGGCACCTCGGTGGTTTAGTCGGTTAAGTGTCTAACCTCAGCTCAGGTCATGATCTCACGGTTTGTGAGTTCGAGTCCCATGTTGGGCTCTGTGCTGACAGCTCAGAGCCTGGAGCCTGCTTCAGACTCTGTGTCTCCCCATCCCTCTTTGCCCCTCTCTTGCTCATGCTCTCTCTCTCAAAAATAAGCATTAACAGGGGCGCCTGGGTGGCTTAGTCGGTTAAGCGT